AACTAAACTCCCACAGTGCAACAGCTTTTGAGAACCACTGGTTTATTGAGCAGTGAAACGGCCATGCAAGCCATTTCCCCTGCTTCCTGTCTATGCTAAGCTAATTGACTCCCGGTCCTCACTCTATAGTTAATGCACAGACATGAATGATTTTCTCAGCCAGAAAGCAAATGAGGATAAAATCACCAAACATTTTATTAGGAACACCCAGGTGGTTAAAATGAACTTTTGGAATGAATAGGCTGGATTACTTTTAATTTAATGAGTTTATTAATATTTTAATGAATAACATTTGGGAATATACACACAACACACAAGCTTGAATCATGTGAGAAGCTGCAGGTTTATAAACAGCTTCAGATTTGGGTTGGCATCACACTAGTTAACCTTGTCCATTGCCTCTCTCCTTGATGCATCAAGCCGCAATAAATACTTCTACTTAAAACATCAGGCGTCTCCTGAAAACTCCATCACAGTGTCTTTGAATTAAATCAATGAGCAACTTGGATCTTTAATGCGGCTTTATGCCAGTTTCCAAGGTCGTTTGCCACGAACGGACTTTCCTGTTTTCCACTGCCTTAAGGCAAGCAAAACACAAGACTCCGTTTGTATCAGCAACATAATGCAGCCACTTCCATTTATTAAACCAAGCTGCTGTGAAAGTACAATTGAAGGTTTCTGTTCCAAAATGTCTACCAGGAAAACAAAGTGAGATGGCAGAGCTGTGTAGAGGAGTGGCTCCTGAGGGCTGTTACTGCTGTTCTTGTCGCCGATCACTGAGGCAAAAGGAACATTAGGTGTCTGCAAAGCAGGCAATGAAGTGGTTGACGTTGTGATGCCTTGCCGGACCTGCTATTCTTTTTAGAAGCAGGTGGTTTAGCAACCTTGAACGATGCACCATCCCTAGCTACTAGATGATGAGGTTTTGTGACATCCATTGACCATGTACAGTGGCGCACGCAACAGCCCTTCTTCCCACGGCCCTGGGAAAACCTGTACATTCATGCAGCTATTCAATCAGCCAATCACATGCCAGCAGTGTAATGGAACTATTTTTAGTCCATGCATTAAAAAGGGAACCAACCACTCCACCTGGGGAATTACAACCCAGGAACTAAGCACAACTAAGAAATAGGTAGTGCCAAATATCAATGACCTTAGAGCCATATTAAATAAGGCACACAGAGCCATTCACTGCTCAAAGCTTTGCATTTTAAACCGTCTCTCAAAGCCTGGGAGTGTGACGATCCCAGCTCCATTTTGTGGTCTGCTCACTTCATTAGCTTCTTGGTTTGTTTTTGGAAACAGTAAATCACTCTAAACTACACGGGCTGGAAATATAATGATTCTGTTTCTGAAGACCTTCCAGCTGTGAGATTTTTGATGTAATTATAAGAGTACTTTGACAGAGCCGTGGGCCAATTCTATGTGCAGCAGAATGTATTAAAAATGACCCCTTTTAAGTTTGACACTTGATAGCTTTTACATGTCAGAGTGTCAGCTGGAGAGAACTGCACTGGTGACTGCAGCAGTGACACGGCTGAAAATGCAGGCAATAAGAGCACTTGACTGGCTAATGCCTCTCTGTAAATACAACACGTACCAGCAGCATTTCACTTCTGCTACAGCAGAACTCGAGTGAAAAGAGAAAGAGGGATTTAAACTGTTTTAAATGAGTCACAATCACAGCAGTGGTTTATCATAAATCATTTGATGTGTGTGGATATATGCTGGTTAATTTACAATTTCCTGGGTTTGAACCT